GAGCCAGTCAGGGTGCAGTACAGCACTGATGAAACAAACAACTTTCCTCTAGTTCTTAAATGCTTCCTCCAGTCCCCACTATCTGACACCAATTCTACCTTACAAATCCAGTTAGACCAGAGCAAGTATACTGGTACCAAGAGCTGGAAACACAGAGAACCCAGAGGACAGATAAACACTTCAGGACCAAGTAGCCATACTAGGAGGGGAAAGGGACCGTGGGAGGAGATAGGGAGAACCAATCACAATGATCTACCACCTTTAACTCCCTCCCAAGGGGATGGACAACAGAAAAGTGGGTGAAGGGAGACATCGGTCAGTCTAAGACATGAAAAGATAATAATAATTTATAAATTATCAAGGGTTCAGGAGGGATGTAGGGAGGTGGGGAAGGGGAAATGAGCTGATACCAAGGGCTCAAGTAGAAAGAAAATGTTTTGAGAATGAAGAGGGTAACACATGTACAAATGTACTTGACATAATGGATGAATGTATGGATTGTGATAAGAGTTGTACGAGCCCCCTATAAAATGATTTTTTTTACTATTAAAATAATTTTAAAAAAATAACTTAATGTGTCTTTAGTTTGTTCACAGATAGACTTTTGATATCAGTACATGTACACAACCCCACACATATTTTAACATCGAGGGACTTGGAACCATCACAGTTAATCATATATATATAGATTTCATGGTATCACAATTTCAACCTAATTATTTACTTGGTACAATCAATAGAAAGCAGTCCTAGATCTTAAAAGTAAAACAAATAAGAATTTGAAGCAAAAATGCAATCTTTGGGCAAGTAACACACCTCTTCCATGTTAAGCTCTAAAAATAATGACTATTCACCCTGAAGGCAAGTAACAATCAATGGTTTTAGATATTTAATAATCAACCTGTTCAGAAGTTCTGGTGTATAGATAAAAATAAACATTAAGTATTCAAATAATACAAGTATGAAGGGCCAAAATTTGGAAGCAATCTAATGAATTAAACTATACCATTAAGTTCATGCTCCATATACATATACATATTTTAAAGCTAAACAGTCATTTACTGCTATCAAACTCTTTTGAGTTTGGAGGTAGTCAAACATTAAGTAAGCACTCTAAGTGGGTTCCTTATGGTAAAAGCTACACCTGTTTTCTCGATTTTAAGTGTGGTTAAGATGTCGGGGCATTGAAGGGAGCAAGCTGAACCATCATCAGTACATAATAATTAAATAAAACATAGTTGAAATATTTCTTCTCTGAGAAGTCAGATACATGATTTTTCAAAAAATCACAAATTGATGCAGATTTAGTTGCTGACTTCAATTATAGCCCGGAACTGGCAATTTATGCCCATCTTTGGCTTCAAAAAAAGTATAAGAAAGAGTGATGAGATCAACATTCACCATTCTTGGATCTTCAGCAAATTCTGGATCAATGTAGAAAAACACTGGCATGTCTATTTCCTCTTGTGGATTAAGCCTTTGTTCTTCAAAACAGAAGCACTGTATTTTATTGAAATACTGTCCAGCTTCAAATGGTACAACATTGTATGTAGAAATTCCGATGACTGGCTTGCCAGTAGGATTCTTAGCTTTGTAAAATGCTAGTGCCGTCTCTCCTGGCACTACATATATTTCCATTTGCTGAGGTCTAAAGTTCCACTGGAGACTTGCATGCACATCTGCATTAAAGGTTACTTTAATAATACGATCCTTAGCAGGCACCATGTTTTCAATCTGGTCAGATCCATGGCCAGCTACTGCTGACCCTCCAAGTCCAGTAGTCTGGCAATAGAGCCGATAAAGGGGCACTGCGGCGTAGGACGCCCCCAGCATGGCCACGGCGGCGGTGCTCATGTACGTGAGGACAGTCTTGTTGCAGCGCGCGCGCGCGCGAATGGGTTCATGCTCTTCAGCTGCCGGGGCGGCTGCAAAGCCAGGCCCCGGGCCTGGCTCCGGAGCCCTCGCGTCCCGAGCTGCCTTAGCCCCCTGTCAGGAGCTCGGGTGCCATTGCGCCACAGGCTGAGAAGAGGCTCTAGCCTCTTTCCAGCTGTGGTCAGGGACACGGCGCGACTGCAGGGCCCGGCACACAGTTCGAAGCTCCTCCATGGCGTGAGCCAGAGCCCTCTCATAGCTTGCGGCCTCTCGCAGGAGCCCCAGTAAAATTATTTTAAACAAACAAAACAAAAACCTTACTGGGTTAAGAAAAGTGGGTGAAGAGAGACAGAGGTCGATGTAAAACATGGAAAAAATAATAATTTATAAATTATCAAGGGGGCATGGGGGAGACAGGGTGGGGAAGGGAGGGGAAAAAATGAAGAGCTGATACCAAGGGCTCAATTAGAAAGAAAGTGTTTTGAAAAAGATGATGACAACATGTGTACAGATGTGTTTGACACAATGGATATATGTATGGATTGTGCCAAGAGCTGTAGGAGCCCCCAATAAAATTATTTAAGGAAACAAATGGAGGGGCAACATGGCAGGGACAATATATCAGCGTGCAGTATAACACTGATGAAACACATAACTATCCTCTAGTTCTTTAAGATTTCCTCCCCTTACTATTACGGTTTTATTTGTTTTACCTCATTAATGTTAGACTTGTGTATATTCATTTGTATAATTAAGATTGTTAGATACAAGAAAGCCATGATAGATAACCCTTCAGAAATAGTACCAGGAGTAATAGTTCCATGAGGGAATGGGAAGTGAGGGGAGGAAAGGGGAGAAGGGGATGCTGATCGTACTGATGACTGTATAACCCCACTCAGAATTGTATGTGAGTGGATATATTGGATGGTGTAAGATGGGGTCAAAAAAAATTTTTTTTAACTAAACATCCCTGGAGAGAGGGATAGAGGGGGAGCTGATAAAGAGGATAAATAGTTCAAGAAGAAAATGTTTCAAAACTGATTGTGGTAGCAAATATACAATACTACTTGATATGATTGAACTATGAAATATTATGAACTCTGTATGAGCTCCCAGTAAAATGGTAAAAAAAAAAAGACTTTCCTCAACTTCCTAATCCCCATCCAAATGTCTACCTATTCAACTTTCTCTCACTTATGAAGGAAGAATTGTTCCTTCTCTAATCTAATAGACTAACCATTTCATTCGTACTCTGGGTTCCCTGTCAGTTATGCAAGAATTTGTATCCTGTAATTGTTCCTGTCTGCTCTACATCAAATTTTCATCTCTTGTCAGCCATTAACTATCAGTTCACAATTGTGCTACAGTAATTGTTATTAAAAAGAAGAGGGATGGAGAGATGTAGAAGGAAAGGGAGGACAGAGAACTAGAGAGTGTAAAGAAAAAATTTATTTCTCCTCCACAATTTCCCATTTCAGTACTCCTCTTTATAGCAAGCCAAATTGCTACGCTTTCCTATATTCCCCTTCTTCTGCTCCCCAACTCTCCAATTAGGTTTCTGTTGTTTCACTTAACTCTCATACGTCACCAATAGTGTCCACCTTGCCAAATCCAAATGGTCAGTTTTCAGTTTCTATTTTACATCTATGCAGCATCTGACACAGCTGATAATCCTAAATCGCTTCTTGAAGCACTTTCTTCACCCGGCTCCCAAGAAACTTTCCTGATTTTCCTCCTACCTCACTGGATGCTTTCCTTCTGTTTTCTTGTCTGATTCATAGTCCTTGTCTATCCTTCATCAAGTTGTCAAAGATTCCCAAGGGCTCAGACTCATGACTTTGCTTCATATACCCTAGATAATCTCATCCAGTTCAATTTTTAAAAAAAATACCATTTATAAGCAAATTACTCCAAATTTTCTAATACCTTCAACCCTGATTTCTCTGTTGAGCTTCAGGTTTGCATTTCTAATCTTTGTTGTTGTTGTTTTCATCTGGAATCTATGGGGTCCTTCAAACTTATAGAAAACTCTTATTTTTTCTCTCATCAGACCCACTCATCCTTTTCTCAATTATAGTTAATAGCATGACTACTAATTAAGTCCTAAAATCTAGGACGCATTCTAGAGTCCTCTCACTTCCTACATCTAATACAGAAGCAAATCTTGTTGAATCATTCTTTAAAATATATCCTAAAATATAACTACATCTCACCACTTTCAGTCACATGCTAATGCCCTATTCCAGTCACCATCATTTATTTATGAAACATGGCATTAACCTTTTCACTTTTTCTTCTGATTCCATTCATGTAGCATGTAGAAAGGGCCTCAGAATGTAAAAACCTCTATCCCATAGGGTTAGTGTATTCACCTACAAGACCACTCTAAATTTGCCTCTAATTTTTTTTTCACATGCTACAACTTTCAATAATAAACATTAACGTAATTCTATAATTTAATCATAAAATCGATGTGCCACTTCTTGGAGGATATCCATCCTGATAATAAGCATTTCTTAAGAGTGATACTATTAATAATAGTTTTATTCTAAAGTATTTAATAATATGAGAGATCTTACTGGTCTGACGTCACCACAGGAATTGGTAAATTGTCGAGCCAAGCCAAAATCCAGCATATAACATTTTCTACATGTACTAGGAAAGCGACCCATGGCGAAGTTTGACTAGAAAAATCAAGAAGAAAAATATACATATTCTTAAAATACTTAGTTCTTTTTACATTACCCTTCCTATGTTTAATTCTTTCTATTTAAACTCTACATAACACCTTACAAATAGACTATTTTAGTATATGATGCTTACTGTGTATTAATATATAATTTAATTGTGAGTTTTGCTAATGCCTAGGAGCCCTGGTGGTGCAGGGATTAAGCACTCAGCTTGCTACCTGAAAGGTGAGAGGTGTGACTACCAGCTGCTCCGTGGAAAAAAGATGTGCAATCTGCTTCTCTAAAGATATTGCAGCCTTGGAAAACTTACAGGGAAGGTCCTCTGCCCTATTCACTATGAATGAGAATCAAATATAAGTGATAGCAGTGGGGTTGGTTTTGGGGGCGTTTTATCAAGCGAGGATCAGATGAAAGGAACACTGGTGGACAAGTGCTGGATTGACTGCTAATTGCAAAATTGGCTATTTAAACTCATCAAAGGTGTTGCAGGAGGAAGATGATGCTGTCTGCTCCCATAAAGATTTACAAGCCTCTGAAATCCTATACAGGGTCACTATAAATGTGCAAAGTTACACAGAACATGGATTTAATAGAAATAGAATACTAAATGCCTTAAAATTCTAAACTGTCACTGCTTACATGACACCTAAATCCTATGTTTTAAAATATAAGGAATTAAGAGTAGACAAACACAAATACATATCTTGGAAATTTAAGAACACCCTGAAGGAAAAAAAAGAATATCCTGAATTTTACTAAATCTAAAAAATGAGATAATTTAAGGAAACCATTTAAAAATTTTTAAAATGAAAATATATTTTGCATTATTCTCTTAATAAAAATAAACAATATTAAATGACTATAAATTTGTAAGAACAGGCATGGAAAGGTATTTGTAAAGGCAAAAGTCAAGTTTTTAGCTTCAACTAAAAGAAAAGTACTACTTAGGGAGCATGCTGATGAAAATGGAAATTTCAGATCACTCGGTTCTCAAAGAATAAGGGTTTGGTTTAAAGATAAGATTAGAAGAAAGGCTGTATTAAATTTGTTTCTACTATAATGCTTTTAGTTAGCATTTTAATTAAAACAGTTTTAGAGTTTTATAAATAATACAGCAATATAGAACTATAATTTTCAAATGCAACAACATATGATAAATTTAGAGTAGATATAATATATCAGAAGGAGCCATTATGATGCAGTGGGTTAATCTTTTGGCTGCTAACCAAAAGGTCAGCCATTCAAGCCATCAGCAGCAATGTGGAGGAAAGATGAGGTAGTCTGTTTCTATACAGATTTTCAAGCTTAAAACCCTTCTGGAATTCTACTCTGTCCTAGAAGGTTGCTACAAGTTAGAATTGGCTTGGAGGCAGTGGGTTTTTTGAATGGTATATTAGAAATGGGCCATTTCTCTTGTGAGATATGAAACAACAACAAATAAAGCATAAAAACACGTTTCACAGTTGCAGAAATTACAATCTCTAAGAAAAACAGAATAGAATAAATATATTATCACAATATCCCTCAGGAGAAAAATAAATCTTTAACATTTGATAATTTCTTAAAAGTACCATTTGTCATGTTATAAATAGTCCAGAGAATACAATACCAACATCTAAAAGCTATCTAAAAACATATACACATATAGGGAAAAAATAGTATCAGGAAACATTAATCCAAAACTTGATACCAATTTAAGTATAAAGCTAAGAAGGCATGTTAGTCTAAATAATTTTTAATTTGGTAGATAGCAACATTTTCATTATTCATGAAAAATCCTAAAAATCAAGTTGTAGTTTGTAATGATCACCTTTTTAAAAATTATGTTTTTGCTTCCAGGTCTCAAAAGAAACAAAAATACCTATTGAATTTAATCAGAGAAAATACAGAAAAATGTATTTTTAATTTACTCAATACAATCTTTTTTTTTTTTTAACTGTTTACAATCTTGAGGACAACTAACAAGGGCCTTCTGTGCCTTGTCTGGAAAAGCCCCTACCGGTTTGATGTCTCGGTGCAAGAATCCCACAGAATGGATGCTTTCAATAGATTCCAAAATCTGTTTGCCCAGCCGAAGAGTGGTGCTAATGGTGAAAGTGCCCCGGGATTGGCTACGGCGTAGATCTGCTAGATTCCGACCCTGTGAAAACCAAATAAACAATTTCAAAAGTGGTACTAAAATGTGTAAGAGAAGGCTAGGGAGTTTTAACCTACCATTAACAATATTTTGTCTGAAACAGCAAAGGTTTTTGCCCAAATTGTGATACTCTCCATCAAGAGAACAGATTTCCTTAAGAAAATGACATGAATGTTTCAAACAGATTTAAGAAAACTAAAGTTTCTTCAGTATATCATGTTTCCCTTGTTTGCTGTCATAATAAAAGTCTTGCTATTTTAAAAGATATAAAATATATAACATAAAGCAGTAATTCTTATAACTATATAAGGTGACCAGACGTCCCGCTTTTGGCTGGAAAGTCCCAATTTTTAACAATTTTTCCTGCGTCCTGCAGCATTTTTAAAAAGTCCCAGTCTTTGGAAAGAATGCACGACAACCTAGGGTATAGGGTTTTCGGCTGCCATGTGGCTATTTTGCCAGGATATGAGTTTTACCAATGGTGTCCTGCTTTACCAATGTTAAAATCTGGTCAGCTTAATCTAACATATACCCACACATGTTACTTAGCCTTTTGCATTAATTTTCTTCATATCATAGGGGCTGGGCAATGAGTATCTACCTCACAAAATTTTGTGAGGATTAAAAAAAATAATATATGCAAAGTGCCGAGAACTCTGACACAGTAGGTACTCAATGATTGCCAACGACTGTTATTAAAACCAAGTATGGTACATTTTAAATACTCCTAACCCACTGCCATTCTGTCATTTATGTCTCATAGTGACCTTATATAACAAAGTAGAACTGCCCCATAAGGTTTCCAAGGATGCAAATCTTTAAGGGAGCAGAAAGCCTCATCTTTTGCCCTCATCAAAGCAGCCGGTAGATTTTAATTGCTGACCTTAAAGTTGCAAGTTTTTCAACCACTGAGCCCCAGGACTGCCTCAATTACTTGTTTCACTCACTCCCTGCCACTGAGTTGATTTAGACTCAATATAAACACAATTGATATATCTGACACAGTAGATATATATTGCTTTTTTCTACTGCTGTGAGTAAATATAGCAGTAGATCAAAGAATTGAAGGAGGCCTGGAGGTGTAGAAAGGTCAGTAGTTTGAATCCAATAGCCGGTCTATGGGAGAAAGATTTTCTGCCTTCTTGGAAACCGAAAGGGGCAGTTCCACTCTGTCTTACAGGGTTGCTCTGAGTCTAAATCAACTCAGTGGCAGGGAGTGAGTGAAACAAGTAATTGAGGCAATCCTGGGGCTCAGTGGTTGAAAAACTTGCAACTTTAAGGTCAGCAATTAAAATCTACCGGCTGCTTTGATGAGGGCAAAAGATGAGGCTTTCTGCTCCCTTAAAGATTTGCATCCTTGGAAACCTTATGGGGCAGTTCTACTTTGTTATATAAGGTCACTATGAGACATAAATGACAGAATGGCAGTGGGTTAGGAGTATTTAAAATGTACCATACTTGGTTTTAATAACAGTCGTTGGCAATCATTGAGTACCTACTGTGTCAGAGTTCTAGGCACTTTGCATATATTATAGTACCCTAAATAGATATTATTATATGTTTTAAAATAAAGAAACTGACCAAGACTCAAAAAGATTAATCTGTTAAGTAAAACGTTCTTAAAATCTGTCTTTTTCCCCCCACTGTCCCACTGAAAAATGCTCCTTGTTGCTTAGGTAACCAATCAATACCTCAATGAGAACCAGCCCTCAATAAGGGCTACACCCCTGTAGTTCTATCTTCCAAAGAGTAGAAAGAGGCCTTTTCCACACCACAGGAGATGTTCAATATCTCTATTTCTTTATTCCCAAAATTCACTAGTACGTTTAGGGTTGAAATTAATACCATCACTTCAACTAAAAAGTTGATTCATTTCTGAAATATTAAATTTTTAGGTCACTTAAACATTAAGTAAAATTAAAGAATAAGGAATAATGGTGATGTTGGGTAAGCATTGGAAAGCTAACTGAAAAACTGACTGTTTAAGTCACCAGCTGCTCCACGGGAGCGATGAGGCTCTCTGCTCCCATAAGGATTTACAGTCTTAGAAACCCTACATAGGGTTGCTATGAGTTAGAATCCACTTGATGACAATGAATCTGAGTGGGTTTAAAAAAGAATAATAAATGTGACAGAATGCTCCCTCACCTTACAAACTTTGGACACATTATCCGGAGAGATCAGTCCCTGAAAAAGGTTACAATGAGACCCTCTCCGAAAGTCCACTTAAGCACACCTAACAACAAGGAACTTAAAAGGAGAATGGTGACACTGTCAGGTAACTGTGGGATTGTTAACTGCAGGGCTGTCAACTCAAATCTACCAGCTGCTCACTGGGAGAAACGTACTGTAACTGTCTACACCGGTAAATATTTACAGCCTAAGAAACCCTATATATCAGTGGTTCTCAACCTTCCTAGGGCTGCAACCCTTTTATACAGTTCCTCATGTTGTGGTGACCCCCAAGCATAAAATTATTTTCGTTGCTACCTCATCATTGTAATTTTGCTACTGTTATGAATCGGGCAACCCCTTGCAAGTCTGGCTAGACCAGAGGATGTACACTTGTACAGATAGGAACTGGAAACACAGGGAATCCAGGGCGGATGATCCCTATAGGACCAGTGGTGTGAGTGACGAAACAGGGAGGGTAGTGGGAGAGTGGGTAGGAAAGAGGGAACCGATTACAAGGAGCTATACGTGACCTCCTCCCTGGGGGACGGACAACAGAAAAGTGGGTGAAGGGAGACGTTGGACAGGGAAAAGATATGACAAAATAACAATTTATAAACTATCAAGGGCTCATGAGGGAGGGGAAGCGAGGAGTGAGGGGAAAAATGAGGACCTAATGCAGGGGGTTTAGTGGAAAGAAAATGTTTTGAGAATGATGAGGGCAATGAATGTACAAATGTGCTTTACACAATTGATGTGTGTATGGATTGTGATAAGAGTTGTATGAGCCCCTAATAAAATGATTTAAAAAAAAAAAGGAAAAGAAAACGGGTCGTTCAACACCCAAAGGGGTCACGACCTAACAAGTTGAGAACCACTGCTATATAGGCTCATTATGAGCAGCAATGAACTCAATGGCAAACAAGGGGGTAAGGGGAGTGTTGGAATTTGAAAATTACAGATATGTGAGGAGCCTTTCACTTTATAGTTTCTTTTAAATGAAATTTTCCCACAGCATATATTAACTGCTAGTGTTTTGTTGTTTGAAATGTAGGGCAAGCTTGTTACTTAACAAAGCAGAATTCATTATAAATGCAAAGTGTGGGGCAACCTAGAGGGAAGGGATTTTTAATCCCTTGTGAGTACCTAATGACTCATTAGCATTATAATAGTTTTTTTCCTAAAAGAATTGTGATTGCCAAATACATTCCTAAAATAAAACTGAAACTTTCTTTTTAAAAAGCAAGCACCATCACAAAACCTTTCCAAACTACAGCATTTGCACTGGATTTGTGTAATTTAGATTGTTGAAGATTTAGATCTTTCAAAGTGTTAGATCTAGATATCAATTAGCTAAGGTTGGGAAGAATATGTGGGAAAAACTCCTTAACATTATAAATAGATACAGGTTTGATTCAACAATTTAACTTCATTGTAATTTTTTTTTTAGAAAAATGGAAAATGGAAAAAAAATCGAGAGCAATCTATATTTGCATCTATAAATGAATGGTTAAATAAGTTAAAGGGCAATCATCTTATTAATGATATGTGGTGCTGTTGTTAGGGGCCTTCAAGTTGGCTACAACTCATAGTGAACCTAGGTATATCAGCGTGAAACACTACCCAGTCTTGCACCATCATCACAGTTTTGAAGTCTGAGCCCACTGTTGCAGCCACTGTGTTAATCCATCTTCTTGATGGACTTCTATGTTTATGAAGACCCTCTAACTACCAAGCATGATGCCATCTTCCCAGGACTGGTGTTTCCTAAAACCATGACAAAAGCAAGTGAGATAAAGTCACACCATCCTTGTTTCTAGTCATCATTCTGGAGGTAATTCTTTAAGATGGACTTGTTTGTTCTTCGATTCTTAGCCAACACTACAATTAAAATATGTCTGTAGTCTTCCTTTCACATGCATATGAGGCAACTGAAATACAATGGATTAATGCACAGAGAGGACCATATGGCTGTCCCCACTACGAGACACAACATCCCTCACTGGCCCATAGCCCTACAGGGGACAACACTGCAGACAATGTGGGAATTGCACCCGATCTGACCCTGACACACCGAGGCAAAACACTAAGGGAGTGCAGCAGAACAGCAAAGGGAGCAGAGCAAGGAAGTCCAGAGGGAATACCAGAAATAGACTTTGGGGCCAGGGTATGACACTCTATCAAATTTGACCAGAAAATACTCCTAAAGGTCAACAAACAGACCTTGAACTATTTACAGGCTTTTCTTTTTTCTGGTCATTGGTTTCTGGTTGTTGTTTTGTTGCTTTGTTTTGCTCTGTCTTGTTTTTGTGCATATTATTATCTCTGCAGGTCTATCTAGATAAGATAGGCTGGCTAAACAATCTGGAGGAGAAAACAACGGGAAAAACGGTTGGGGAGGACATAGGAGAGGGGCAGGTGGGGGAATGGAAGTGGTGTTAACAAACCCAGGGATAAGCGAACAGCAAGTGATCCAAAATCAGAGACGAGGAAGGTGTAAAAGGCCTGGTAAGGCTTGATCAAGGGCAAGGTAACTGAGAGGAATTGCTGAAATTCAAATGAAGGCTGAACATGATAGTGGGACAAGAGGAAAGTAAAAGGAAATAGAGGAAATAACTAGGAGGCAAAGGACATTTACAGAGGTCTAAATACAGGCATGTACATATGTAAATATATTTATATGAGGAAGTGGAAATATATCTATGTGTATATATTTATAAGTTTAATATTAAGGTAGCAGATGGATATTGAAACTCCACTCTAGTACTCCCTCAATGCAAGAACACTTTGTTCTATTCAACTGGCATTCCATGACGCACACAAAGCGGGTG